CCATAGTACTAACACTTCCCTACTCGTATCTAAACCCCAATTTTTTTTTTCCATTGTTGTTTTAGATAATTTTAAATATCAAAATATTAGGTTTCATGTGGCAATAGAGTAGGAAAATTTGAGGTTTAATGGAATGATAGATTTTATTTTATTCTATTCAGAACTTCTACACCATAATTAATAGTAATTAATTACAGCTTGTATGTGTCTGTCTGCTTATTTCTGGCAGTGTCAAGTAGCACGATTAAAAACCATAACATTTATACTGGGGGAAACAAATGTAATACAGTGCCATGTAAAAGCACTTGAGACATACCGATAACATATATAAAACAAGAAATACTATGAAGAACTTAAGAGACATAACCTTAGGATTCCAACCTTGAGAATGTGTTCCTGGCATAATGCATGATACTATCAAAATCGTACGTCTCTCCCAAAGAATTCACTTCTCCTGGCTCCATTTTAAGAAAGTTGTATTCCTGACCTGCAAGGACAACAAGCTTTGAACATATTATCAAACTGAAAACAAAAACTTCAGACTTTAAGAGCAAAGGATTAAAACCATATTTCATTTTCTACAAGGAATGCCCAAAAAATTAGAGGGGATGCAATGCAATGCATTTAAAGCATGAAATACAATAAAGTTTTATTTTCTTTTAATTTGTATGAACCTAATTTTGAGCAGAATTTTAAAGACTTATGCCATTCAAAGATTACAGTTCTGACTATGAGAAACTGGATACTCTGCAAAGTATATGGTTCTGCTACAGACACACATCTCCTTCACTCCTCCGGCTCTGGGTACAGGCTTCCAATGGATGCTCCATAAATTCAATATTTAGGCAAAAGAAAGCCATGCTCCATGTTAAAGCTGTGTATGAATTTCTTAGGCTCCATGTACACTAGCTTTTTTTTTAGAAGCAGTTCGCAATTTGTTCCTGCTCCTAGAAGCTAAATCGTGTTAACCTAAGTGTCCATGCACACTACTTTAGGCTATTAAATGTTTTTTGAGCTTCAGCAAGTTTTTTGGAGCGGTTTTCCAGCAGAAAAAAAATATTGTTAAAAACACTCCTAAACGCTGTTAAACACTACTAAAATGCTCCAAACGGTTTTTTTTTCCTACATGTACTATCAAAACGCTAACACTAGCGCTCCTAAAAACCACTATTACCAGCATTTTTCCAGTGTTTTTTAAATAAAAAAAAAAAAAAAAAGCTAGTGTGCATGGAGCCCAAGAATCTCCAAGGCACAGACTGTTCCACCTGATCTTGCAAGTGTCAATGCGTTTCACTTCATCCTTGGGCACATTTGTAGACTCTACGATAAAGCACCAGATGGACAGTCAAATAATTCATACAAGGATTTTTTTCTTTGGAGAGTGGTTTCCTTTTTTTGCTTAAATATGGAATTGATAAGAATTTTGTGGATTAAAAAACACCCCAAAAAACCCTTTCATTGCTTGCAGAATATATTATCACTTATGGCTAGCCCATGCTTACTGCCACATTTTTTAACCCATTCAGTTTGAAATCAAACGCAGCAGCCAAGGTATAATACCTCAAGTCAAACACAGTGACAATGTCAAGGCTGACAAAACCTGTCTCAGGTGTGGCTTCCATGTTCTAGTAGCAATGGTCAGTCTATGATTCCCTAAGGCATATATTAGTTCTGGGATATCAATTACAATGCTGGTGAAAAGGTACAGCCCCACAGAAATAAAATAATCTTATGATCATAGGATGGAAACTACTTCCAATACAGTTATCAGTCATGGCAGTTTCTATTAAACGTTGGTTTAAATAATTCCACTTATAGCGAATGCAGGGTCCTGGGTTTAGTAACACTGTATCTGGTTTCCCACAGAACACACTGAAATGCAATTATTTTAATAAATATAAACTGCCAAATACCTTTTCTCATCAGCAGTTACAGCAGTCTTGTGACTTCTACCAGTGTCCAGCAGAGCACTGGTTATGGCTTGTAGGAGGAGTTTTTATTATGCTCTAGGAGGATACAGAACTCCTTCAGTGCTGGGGTGACCACATACACGGTCCCAAGAGAAAAAAAGGGCTCTCTAGCAATATACACCAAACTAAGCATGTGCAGAGCGCTTACGCACAATAGGTCTTATCAGGGGATAAGAGGGATACACTGGAAGGAGGAGAGGATCAGAGAAGTCAGGATCAAAGCATTTTTACACAATGCAGAGGATTAACCCCTTAAGTTTCACAGTGAGTTTAACAAGCATGCTTTACTGCATATACAGACTGATTTTATGTTTGTGGGTTTAGTAACACATTAAGCCATGGTTTTGAACATTCTAGAAATAGGATTTTAGAGGTATTCATGAAACAATTAAGATCAGTTTAAAAAAATGAATGACTTTAATTGTTTACATGCAAAAATCAATGGCATTTTAATAAACATTGAGTCTTTTCAGATTTGTTAATAGCATGAATGTTAGTACATTTAGTTCTGCTAAAAATATTCCAAGTGCAACAAACCAAAAAGATGGTCAAAGCCTTAGGCCTCTTCCACATGGGCTTTATGATCAGGTCAGTTTTTAGGTGGAAATGGGCAGGCAGATCTAAATGGAAATCTACATATATGCCTACCTCCCAGTCCACCAAGGTCCAAGGTTAAAAAAAAAAAAAAAAAAAAAAAAAAGAGGACTGTGCCCTTGTCTACCTCTGACATTTAGGTCTCTAAAAACAGACAAGTCCACTTACATTTGATTGCCTACAGATCCAGTATGGGTCTACTACAGTCCAATGTCAAAATACAGACAAAGAAAAAAAAAAAAAAACACAACAAAACTAAATGGGCACTGATGTCACAAAAATAAAATCTGTCCATCAGTTTACAGAGCCCCTTCTGAACAGAGAAGAGTGTGACCATGTGTGAGGGGTCCTTACCGTTCATTTTCTTTAGAAAGCAGCCATAGCCCAAGTACAAAAGCCTGTCCTGGTCAGCATGCTGCAGAGGAGGACCCTTGCTGTCTATGTAAAAGTATAGATCTCTTTGCAGAGGTTTGACAAGCTCCCTGTTGAGTCAGAGCTATGGAACTGCGATTACGCAGAGACCACTGCTTCCACACAGAGTAAGGATCCTTCTTTGCAGCATGCTGGCAGGGATAAGATTTTTTTACTCAAGCTGTGGCAGCTTTCTAAAGAAAAACACACTTTAAAGTGTTACTAAACTCAGGACCCTGCATTCACTATATCTGGTCTCCCACATACACACAACATGGAAATGCAATTATTTTTAGTAAATATAAACTGATAAATACTTTTTCTCATCAGCAGTTAGAGCAGTCTTGCTATCAGTGTCCAGCAAAGCACTGGTAAAGCTTGTAGGATGAGTTTTTTATTCTGCTCTAAGAGGATGCAAAACCCCTGACCCTCTGTCTGGACAGTGCTAATTACATGCACTCTCCCAAGAAAAAAAAACACCTCTCTAGCAATACACACTAAACTGAGCATGTGCAGAATGGATACGGTTCAGTCTGTCTTAGGAGATAAAATGTAGACATTTTAACAAGGAGCAGAGAAGTCAGGATCAAATGGACTTTTTACACAATGCAAAGGATTAACTCCTAAGGTTCCACAATGAGTATAACAAACATGTTTTACTGCATATACAGACTGATTTTATTGTTGTGGGTTTAGTAACACTTGAAGGCTTTGTAAATCTTCTGTTTTGATTCACCTGAATGTATTTAGCCAATTGAAACTGAAAAGTTAAATGAAACTCTACACTGCAATATTCTGACAAAAAAAAAAAAAAAAACAGCAGCAGTAACAAATGATATGGTCAAAGTAAACATTGAATAGGAAAAATAAACATTATATTTGAATTTACCAGTAAGCACGTGTTCAAAAAAGGATTCATGGATAGTCTTTTTGCATAAGTATCCCTGCTGGAACACAATTATCTGTAGATTAAAGTGTAACTAAACCCAGGACCATACATTCACTATATCTGGTCTCCCACAGAACATGGAAATGCATTTATTTTAGTAAATACAAACTGCTATATAGCAGTCTTGTGATTTCTATCAGTGTCCAGCAGAGCACTCGCTACACCTTGTAGAAGTTTTCATTCTCCCCTGATTGTCCTATGAGGCTATATAACCCCTGACCTCTGTCTAGACAGTGCTGATCAGCCCTGTGCTGATCGCATGCACTCTCCCAAGAAAATAAATAAATAAAAAAAAAAACTCACTAGCAATACACAGCAAACTGAGCATGTGCAACTTGCCCCCAGGCTCTTTTCTATCAGCAGATGGATTGAGGACAATAGAAGGAGGGGAGGATCAGAGAAGACACGATGAAACACAATACGGAGGATTAACCCCTTAGGTTCCACAGTGAGTATAACAAGCAAGTTTACTGCATATACAGACTGATTTTACTGTTGTGGGTTTAGTAACACTTTCAAGCCTAGGTTTATTCCTACATTTTCTCCTCCAATGCATCCACCCGCGCGGTAATCTCAGTGTGGCGGGGCTCAAAACAGCTGACGGAGCTGTGAAAAGCACTTCTCAAGAGTGTGCAGCTATGCCTGTCCTTTCTGCCCAACTCCTCTATTCATAGAGGCCGGTATTACCGCTATGATTCCTATGATCTATAATTGAGGACAGACGGATGACTGAAAGGTCCGCCTCCATAGATCACGTTTGATACATGGGAGCTGAATGGAAAGGGCAAGCATAGTCAGGAATACTTGATGAAAGCCCATCACAGCTCAGTTGGCGCTATTAACCTGCGCTGCACCAGAAAATTGAGGCATCGGTAGGGGACATTGGAGGAGGAAAATTTCTACTAAAGCAGCACAAGGAACAGATCACACTGATAAGATCTTGTGCTGATTTTTTTTTATATTAGTTTTAGTAAACTTAGACTTTAAGAATAAAACAAAAAGTATACAGAAGAACATGTATGACACACAGCAGATCCCAGTGTCCATACCTTGCTGTATGTTCTCTCTCACAATTGTCACATGCTCATCTCGGTCAGGCCGGGTATGTTCATGCCAAAAACCAACAACATGACCCAATTCATGGACCACTATGCCAAATTTATCACAGTTTTTTCCTATGGATATAGCCTGAGGACCTCCTCCACGACGACCTACATATGAACAGCAGCTTAAAAGATTTTAAAAACAATTATAATTAATGCTCTACAACATGTATCCTGTACACACTTGTATGCCTTGTACTCTACAAAATCTCACAAGTTATTAATAGATGCATCATATTTATGTTACCAAAGTACACTATTGAAGTAGAAGAAAAGAAAATGATATAACATATATAATGATATAAAAGTACACCGACATATTTGAAAGTAGGCAGGGGCATAACTAAAATTTCAGCAAGCCCTTTATGGAAATTCTTATGATTTTCCAAAGAGGATGACCAGGAAGGGATGCACAGAACCACTACAATTTTTTGTTTGCATCCAGTTATTTAGTCTCAGTAATATTAGATGTAGTACAAGTGCAACTTATTGGTAACCTGTACCAATTTAGGGATGCTTAGAAAAGACGATGGCGAATATTGCACTGGATCTCTTTAACCCTCTTACTGCCACTGCCTTTATTTTTAAATACTAAAATGCACATTTTGAGCATAAACACAAATACTTCCAAAACATTTCCATAAGCAGAGACCCTGCAAAAAAAAAAAAAAAAAAAAAGGTAGTGCTGCATATTACCTCACATGATATTTTTGCTACGGTTGATAAAACCTATATTTTCGGTAAAAAAAAAAAATACACCAAAAAGCTTTAATGCACAAAAACACTGTATATTTATGTAAAATAGTTACTCCACAGGCAGTGAATCAGCTAAAGCCCATAAGAAACTGTGGAAACTGCAATATACATGGCCATAAAAAAGAGAACAATTTACTTAAAATAAATAAATAAAAATCAGAAATTTCAAATATAGAATTTTTTTGTTGAAACATACATTTTACAATTTCTAAATTCTTAACTAGAGCAAATTCACAAATTCCTTTATTTATACAAAAAATAACATGCAAAATTACCAAAAGCACACATATGTAGAACAATTGCAAAAGTGTAGAAATGTAAACTTTTGAATACTCCTGTCATTTTATTTTTAATATTAAAGCAGAGCTCCACCCAAAAGGGGAAGTTCCGCTTTAAACCTTTGTCCCCCACTCCCCATTAAGGAATGGCACCTTTGGGGGAGCGGGTACCCGAATTTGACAGGTATCCGCTCCCACTTCCGCTGCGATAGGAAGTTGTCCTCCCCCTCCCTCCCCATAGTCTTCTGAACACGTGACAGGTCCCAGAAGTCTACAGGGCCATTCAAAAAGCACAGTGCTTCTCAGGCAGGTGCAGTGGGCACCCGGCTGTGAAGCCGCAAGCTGTCACAGCCGGGTGCCCACACTGAAGATGCCGGCGCCAGGGAGAAAAGACGGGCGGTGAAACCAGCGGTGGAGAGGACACTGCTGGACCGAGGGACAGGTAAGTGGCTGTATTTTAAAAGTCAGCAGCTACAGTTTTTGTAGCTGCAGACTTTTTTTTTTTTCCCCCCAGGTGAAGAAAAAAAAAAAACAAGCAAAAATGCAGGTACCCAAATATTCAAATGTAGAATAACTGAACCCCAATCAATATTGCCACAACAGGTACAGTGGGGATCGAAAGTTTGGGCACCCCAGCTAAAAATTTGTATTAATGTGCATAAAGAAGCCAAGGAAAGATGGAAAAATCTCCAAAAGGCACCAAATTACAGATTAGACATTCTTATAATATGTCAACAAAAGTTAGATTTTATTTCCATCATTTACACTTTCAAAATAACAGAAAACAAAAAAATGGCGTCTGCAAAAGTTTGGGCACCCTGCAGAGTTAATATCTTGTACTGCCCCCTTTGGCAAGTATCACAGCTTGTAAACGCTTTTTGTAGCCAGCCAAGAGTCTTTCAATTCTTGTTTGAGGTATCTTTGCCCATTCTTCCTTACAAAAGTCTTCCAGTTCTTTGAGATTTCTGGGCTGTCTGTCATGCACTGCTCTTTTAAGGTCTATCCATAGATTTTCAATTATGCTGAGGTCAGGAGATTGTGAAGGCCATGGCAAAACCTTCAGTTTACGCCTCTTGATGTAATCCCCCGTGGATTTCGAGGTGTGTTTAGGATCATTATCCATTTGTAGAAGCCACCCTCTCTTTAACTTCAGCTTTTTCACAGATGGCATCAAGTTACCATCCAAAATTTGCTGAAATTTTATTGAATCCATTTTTCCTTCTACTCGTGAGATGTTCCCTGTGCCACTGGCTGCAACACAACCCCAAAGCATGATTGATCCAACCCCATGCTTAACAGTTGGACAGAGGTTCTTTTCATTAAATTCTGTGCTCCTTCTTCTCCAAACGTACCTTTGCTCATTCCGGCCAAAAAGTTTAATTTTAACCTCATCGGTCCACAGAACTTGTTTCCAAAATGCATCAGGCTTGTCTATATGTTCATTTGCAAAGTTCAAACAATGATTTTTGTGGTGAGGATAAAGAAAAGGTTTTCTTCTGATGACTCTTCCATGAAGACCATATTTGTACAAGTATCTCTTTATAGTGGAATAGTGTACCACAACTCCAGTGTCTGCCAGATCTTTCTGGAGGGATCGTGCAGTCAAACGTGGGTTTTGAATTGTTTTTCTCACAATCCTGCGAGCTGTTCTGTCTGATATTTTTTCTTGGTCTTCCAGATCTTGCTTTAACTTCCACTGTTCCTGATGACTGCCATTTCTTAATTACATTCCGAACAGAGGATACTGACATCTGAAAACGCTTTGCTATCTTCTTATAGCCTTCTCCAGCTTTGTGAGCGTCAACTATTTTCAGTTTCAGTTTTCTAGACACTGCTTAGAAGAACCCATGGTGCTGATTGTTGGGGCAAGGTCAGATGAGTCTGGGCATTTAAAACCTTTGAGATTGAAATAACCTGGTCTTCCCAGACGATGATTGAGAACAATCCATGACACTGGCAGGTCTCAGCTTTGCAAAGGGGGCAAAAATTTACACTTTTGAAAGTGTAAATGATGGAAATAAAATCTAACTTTTGTTGACATGATATAAGAATGTCTAATCTGTAATTTGATGCCTTTTGGAGATTTTTCCATCTTTCCTTGGCTTCTTTATGCACATTGATACAAATTTTTAGCTGAGGTGCCCAAACTTTCGATCCCCACTGTATACCATATATACATTTAAATCACAGAACAAAGTTAGCCTAATTTAAAGTGCTAAACCCAAAACCAAAAATGTAATGTTCCAGCTTACCAGTACTTAGATGTGGTGGCTGCATCAGTTGTCTTTTTCAGGCTTCCTTACCTTAATTTTAAACAGTTTAACACTACCCATTTCCTATCTACTTGGCATTTCTTGAAGGACAACCATGGTGTGAGAAGTTCTTGCTAGACAAACCTCAACTTAACCTTCCACTTTCTGACCCAACATAAATCCAAGTGCATCAAATTACAGATATTTGATACAACCTTTATTAACTTTTAACAATCATTAAAAAAGTAAATCAGTAGGATACTATACCAAGAAATAATGGATTTACTTACCCACATGTTCTGTAAGTGAATATGATGTAACTTTCCTCATCAGTTCTTTCAACAAATGTTACACAGGTATACCTTTCCCAGTGCCTCATCGCTTGTTTAAAGATTGCTCTTTGAGGGCCTATAAAGATTAGACAAATCAAGTATGAACTGATCCCAGGGTGTTAAAAATGGACAAATACCAATAAAAACAGCAATGCAGTAAACTACCTGGTCTATTCCATATTATCTTATGTAAGATTTAATAAAATTGCAATAGTCAGAAAAGCCTTAGAAATGTATGGTACCAACATGCAGAGAAAAAAAAATACTAAAGAAGTGTGTAACAGTAAGGCCATTTACATTTCCTACTTCATGCCCAATAAAGTGGGCAGATAATCCCTCTTGGTAGGTTGCCATCAAGCAAGACAAAAATAGTTAAACTGTTTAAAGTATATGTAAACCCTTACGTTGTAAAAACAACCCATTCAGTTTAACCACTTAAGGACCACAATGTACTGTGGCATATACAAGAAGAGAAAATACCAGTATAGCACAGGAGGGTGTGCAGCACGCCACACACACACACACACCAAAGGGCCCAACCCACGTGCGCCAGCTGTACATAGCAGAATGCAGATCCCGGTAAATCAGGACCTGGTGGTCACACAATCCCTTTTCATTCTGATTCATAACAGTCTTGCGGCCCTTCCTAGTGAGCTGTGATTGGCCCACAGCTCTCACATGGTACAATCACAGCACCCTATACCATGTGATTAGCTGTAGCCAATCACAGATCACTAATATTTTAAAGTGTCATGAACCTAACCCATTCAGGACAGTTCAAAGCAAGCATTGCATGAGCAATGATCTTTATTTCTCCTGCAAAGCGTAAAAAAAAAAAAAAAAAAAAAAAACCTTCCCAGAGTAGTACAATGTTACTATGGTAATACTAAACTACTCTGATAAAAAAAAAGAATAATTTTCAACAAAAACTAATAAGTGTTAAAAGTAGAAAAACTCAATATAGTAATTTTTTTTAAACTACTTGCTGCCTGCATTGAGCAGACAAGCGGCGGCTCTGGGCAAAGCAGCATGCCCTTATGTTGTTTCTATTTCCAGGTGTGAGCGCGCGTTCGTGTGCCCCCCGGTGGTCCAGGGAGAGAAGAAGAAAAAACACCACACTGTGTAAAAAGAACTACATCTCTCACACACACACACACAGGATTAGCACATTTAAACACTTTGATCGCCCCCTATTAACCCTTTGATCGCCTCTTCACCTAGCCAGTGTCATTAGTACAATGTCTGTATATAGAATTTTTCACTGATCATTGTATTACTGCCACTAGCGACATCAGAAAGTGCCAGGGTCAGTTAGCGCCCCTCCCACCCAGGGTCAGCTAGAATCAGATTGCAAGCACACTATAGGTCACTGATCACCCCCCATTACTAGTATAGTGTTTGTATAGATCACTATATTGATC